GTTGAAGTTGACCCCGTGTAGTGCGTGGACTTCTGGATGAATCTTTGATATGATTGCATGTATGGTTGTGGTTCGGCTTCTGGATGTGACTGCCTGCGATTACATACATATATGGCTGAGAGGAGCCCCACTGTGACTGTGAGAAGTGATCGTCCTATATAAATAAACCTTAAATATATATATATTTATATGAGCCTTGGATATGTGCGCGGCTTACTTTGAGCGTGCGCAAGGGTAACAAAATTATGGCTGGAGAGAAAAGGAAGACCCTCTTTTACCCTTTGCTTTTTAGAGATTTTTATCGTCGGACGTTGGTCCTGGGCCGGGAGTCAAGACGCTTGTCCAGGACATCCCAAGCCCTAGACTTTGCAAGGAAGGAATTTGTCCCCGGGTAGAGTCTATCTGCCTTACCTATCGAGACGCTCAGACCAAAGGCCGGAGGTCTCGCGGCGGCTGCACGACTATTTCTTCAGCCGTGCTATATCGTGAGGAGTTAGACCCTCACGACACTTCGAGTCTGACACTTGAGTGTCATAAGCGGTACTCGGATCCACGAGGGACCGCTTGATTATGGGCATTACACAGTACGCCATCATTGTGACTGCTTGCGTACGCTTGCATTGCGAGTCGATATGAGTTAGCCCTGCGTCCGCGGGGTTTTACACGGAGTCTCACGCGCGACTCCTACCCGATTTTCGTATTGGAAAGTTACGGGATGACCACTGAAGGGGCTAGGAACGTTGTCGCGTTGTTTATTTTGTGTCGTTTCGTGTGTATGTGTGTGTGTGTTCTTTTTGTGGGTTCGTAGAGTGGTGTGCGCGTGGTGTGTGGGATGCGTCCTAGTCGACCGGCGTCGGGCCTCGCTTGAGACTTCAGCCCCCCAAGATGCCGGTTCGCGTGTGGGTCCGATAGGCGTATTATCGCGCGTACCCCTATGCTACAACGGACGAGAAACGCCCTCGGCTGGTCCACCTCTGCGATTGCAACCGAGTAACTTTCGTACTATGGACAGGTAGCTCGGCGGGGATACACCCACCGAAGTGAGGTGACAACTCGCGTAAGGTGGAGGTAAGYTGTGCCTCGCGTAGGCCCTATCCTGTTGTAGGGGCTCGCGAGAGGTATGGCTGGCGCACTCGGCCGGAGCGGCCTAAGGAAGCTCCATTTGTGTGTTCGCGATGAGGTTGGTCCAACTCTTGCGTGACGCGGTCGAGAGGGTCCCGCGCTGCCACGTGCGGTGCCGGACCGATGCGCCCGACAGGTGGCGCCGCTGCCGGGGATAACGGTTGCCTACTGTTGTCCCTGGTGGAACATCCGGGTATTGGAATGTGAGAAATAGGCAAAGTGAGAGGTATGATTGAGCCTCTTCGGGTTAATCGATTGATGATGTTGGATAAGGATAGAGTGAGGGTACAGTGTGTGAGTTGGCGTGGCTTGATGCCGTAAGGGTGGCATGAGGGTGATAGGCGCTTTGACTATAAGCTCATGTACTCTGATTAGCATGATGACAGTTGGAATTGCGTACCGTTTTTGACTCTGAGAGTTGACTGGCTTGAACAATGCCTTGCCCGATGGATATGGCAGAGGGTGAGTGAGAGTTGAGTGTGTGAGATGGTTATGGCCAGTGCAGTAACGATGGCACAAGAAGGATAAACGTTTTCTCTATGCGATCACGTACTCCGACTACCATGGTGGCAGATGGAGTTGATACCCCCTGCCGGCTTTAGAGGTTGGTGAGTTTTTGGACAAGGCTCTGTATGGTTGACATGGCTAAGGTCTGAAGCGGTGGTATCAACATGCCTAAGTGTGGTGATTGTGGGAGTTGGTCGTGTAAGGTGTTCATCATGGCTAAGGGAAGTTACCCAAGTGGTCAAGGGTGCAATACAGCACTTGGCTTAGGGCGAGGTATAGGATGAGTAGAGGAAGCCTATTGTGTTAGAAGCCGTTAAGGGGCTCCGAGGAGAGTTAGGCTGAGGATGTTGAAAGCCTGTATGGGTATGGATTGGGAGCCTTGAGTCTGGGTTCTAAGCAGCTGCTCGGGTTGTAAAGCCGTGGAAGTCTGAGGTCTGCCCTGCGTAGTATGTTTGAAATTTGGCATATAAGGCAGTAAAGAGATGCAGTGAGCGCCGCGGTAAAGCCCCAATAGAAAGGACTACGGACGTAGTAGACTTGCATGGCGCCTGTTAAAGGAGGGTATCTGATCCTAGAGGCAGTTAGAGTAACAGTGAGGGAGCTAACACTTGGACTATTCTGCTTACCTTTACTGGAGCAGTGAGTTGTAATTGATGTTGGACCCTCGCATGAAGCGTTCCAGGCTTAGACCATCCACTTAGGGAGCTAAAGACTTGAGACCTTTTGTTTTGAAGAGGTTACTTTGAGTTGTATATTGGACTCATCTATGGATGTCAGACCTCGTAAGCCTAATTACGCTTAGTTATGTGGAGTTATATGTTTAAGTAGATATCATTTTCAAGAGTATTTCGCGTGGGTTATTTTATTGGGATTATATTTGGGAACTTATCAGTCTGTAGAAATTTATATGAATGTCTCCAGTCCAGTATTTGGCTCATGGTTGATCATTAAGCGTGTACATTTGGATCGCTCTTCCGAGAGGGGTAGGGATTGTCAGTTTGATAACGGAAGGCGCGTGTTGGACGTTTGTCTGTGATGGGCAGAACCCAGACAAAGCAAAGGCAATTCATGATGACTTATGTAGGGGAAGACCCGCGTATGCTCGGACCAGTTGAGAAAGAGGGAGGGTTCGAGCTGTCTTTACTCAGGCGGGTCAGAGAAGGAGAGTATATTTCTTCATGGTGGGGCATGATGGTGGGCGCGAACATCTTTATCTGGATCGAGTTTGGCTTTGATGATGAGCGGGAATGCGTAATTGTAAGGGTGACCCTGTACGCCTCAGCCGCCTTTTGGGTCGAGCATGGGATAGAGTTGGCGCTTGGGCATGGAAGCCTGCTTGCTAAGCCCTTGAGGGTAGCAGAGGCAACTGCAACAAAGTGGGCGAGGGAAGTGTCCCGTGACGGGAAAGAGCAAGTACTAACCCGTGTAGAGGTTAAGTGCGCTGGGGAGTTCGCGCTTCCATCTGCTCCGCAGCGAGTCACCCTGCCTAAGTTCTATATAGAGAAGAGTTTTGGCGGGCAGGCGAGGGTAGAAGCGGCAGCTGAAGCGGCTTTGAAGACACGAGGATGGGAATATGGGCATTATACGTGTGAACTGATATATGGGTTGTATTTAGACTTGAAGGTTTCGCCCCCTAGTCAGTGGCTCAGAAGCATGACCGACATAGTTGATGTATATGCCAGTACTCACGACCCAGATGAAGGAGGTGAAGACTGGGAGGAGATTCAGGCGGCGGTGTGCCGGTAGGGAATGCCCTCTCTTTCTACTAAATGCGCTTCTTTTGACTTGGTTGTGGTCGTCTCTTTACCCATTACCGTAGTTATAAAGGTGAACGTCAGGATAACTAGGGGTTGAGGCCTGATTGCATGAATAAAAGGGTAGATAGCGTGATGTAAGTGTTGATAGTTTGCCTTTGTCTGCCTGAGCTTACTTGAATTACTTTTGACGATCTATTGCCCGTTATGCGTACCAGGCTGCTGTTAGCATCATGGCGGGAGAAAGCGGTCTCGCCAAGATCCTGCTTTGGAGAAATTTGTGCCTCATGAAGGTGCTGCTGCACGAAGTGCTGCAAGAGTCAATGCCCCCATATCTTCATGCCCTGCTGTTCCAAGGAAGAAACTTGTCTAGCTTTCTACGTGACTTTCAGGATTTTTGTCTTACGAAGATGTGGGACAAGAAGGCGATGTGGTACATGTTCCCCTTGTTCGTTTGTGAAGAACTAAGTGAGGAGGTGTACACCCTCATATTGAAGTCGCAAACCTGGGATGAGCTAGAAGCTTCTCTGAAGTTGAGATTCCCAGAGGATGAGGTGGAATGCAGGCTTGGTGAGGGCCCTGAGCAGCCAGCCGAGGCCGCGTCAACGCAAGGAGAGCTGAATGGTATACAGAGGCAAGTTGGGATGTTGGAAGAGAGGTTGACACGGTTGGAAGAAGCCAGGCGTGGCGAGAGGAAGACCTTCGAAGGAGCATCTAATGGAACGGCTGAGCAGGGTGAGGCGAAGGTAAGGGAAGATCATCAGGAGTTACTCCTCCGCAAGAAGATCCCGAGGGGGCAAGTTTGCGCCCTAGAAAGAGATGAAGGTGAGGGGGTCATTGAGATCAAGGACGAGCGAGAATCTAGTATGGTCCTACCCGTTATTGCGCTGAAGCCGAAGGGAGGGCCCATTGACAGAGAGGCACCCTCGGCTGCGGGTCGGGAGAGGCGAAGGAGTAAGTGGTGGCCAGAGCATTGGGCATAAGTGGTATGTGATCGTTGGGGAAAGATTGATCGCGCCCCTCGAGGAGGCAAGGAAAAGGGGGTGATGGGTGAAAAAGGGGAGCCTGAACCTCCCAAGTTGACGAAGGCTCAGCGGAAGGCGAGGAATCAGGCCCAGGGAGGTCAGGGTAGTGAAAAGAGGCAGTGCTCACGACGGGTGGGGGCCACACCGCAGGAGGTGGAAGGCGGAGTAGCACAAGAGAGGCCCCCGTCGATTGAGCATGCACTATATGGGCAGTAGGACCATACAGTCAAGTAGAGCCAAGGCCTACGTATAATCCATATGTATTCTGGGTACAAGGTAGTTGGCTGGGCCCACAAATGGATATGATGCCACCTAGGCCCCCTGTAGTCCAGTTTCCGCCGGCCCTGTGTATGAGACCATTGCAGCCACCGATGCCACAAGGGGCACAAGGCCCAGTGGCCGGTGGAAGGGGTCAAAAGCGAAAGGCTGAAAAGGGTTGTAGGGATGAGGGGCACGAAAAAAGGAAATGTGGTGGCGGCAAAGGTGGCTCTGGTGGGAAGAAAGCGGGTTGGGGAAAGGACGTTTGCAGACATTGTGCCAAGGAAGGGCACATAATAAAGTTTTGTCGGGAGCGAAGGGCCGATGAGGCAAGCGGTCTAATAAGGACTGGCATTGAGGGAAATGTTTTCGACAGGACGGGGGAGTACATCGACCCAACCATCCCAGGGGGAACAAGGAAGGAGGCCTTGCGGCGAGACGGGGCATCGAGCACTGCCTCATGAATATAGTCGTGAAGACGAAGCATTTGTGTGAGACGGGCCTGAAGGTTGGAGTAGACTGTAAATATAAGTGAGAAATCCCAACTATATAACTGTTGTAGATAGGCGCAACGTACAAAGGGAGGGGATTTTCGTAATAATGGTCCGGTAAGGTAGCTCGAGTTGTAGGCAGGAGGAACCCCAATAGAACAACGGTATAGATGAGGTATGTTAGGTCTGCCTCACATCATGTTATTAGAATGTCTCAAGTAGATGGAGCACGGACTGACCCTGATGGTATTGTTACGAAATAAGGGTCTGTTCTACTAGGCCTATTGATCGAGAGAAGAAGATATGGAACCTACATCGTGCCAAGCCTAGATGGACGTGTAGGTGTGAGAGGTAGAAGAGGTTTGGGAAGAAACTTTGACGTGGGCGAGATAGGCCATCTAGCCTAGGGAGAGAGTTGCATGATTGGTATATGGGCGACCCCTAGCCTTACTTTTCTTTGGATATTTGGATATGTCCTGCATTACTTGGGTCCCTCGGATTGAGAAGTATGGCTGCGTCATGATCAAACTATTTTAGCTATAGCTTTGACCAGGGAGACCGCATTTGTTCTTGTGTGATACCAGTGACAACATGAGTTGAGATTGTTCAACTCCGTGTGTACATATGTAATTCGACACCATTTGGTTTGCGTTTGAGTTGGGGTATTGTACCCCTGTGTATATATTGAGTTGAGATTTTATCTGAGGCCAATTTTTTGTATACGACGATCACAATCACTCTCATATGTGTGGTTTTATCCTTATGTATGATGGTTTTGTGTGAGAGACGTACGAGGGACGTCTCATGAGTTGTGCGGATTTTGTGAGAATGAATGGATGTGAACTGTCTACTCTTCGGTATACCCATACCGTCTGCTTACAAGCAGGACGAGGCCCGGCGTAAGGAGAGAAAGTGCAATCTGTTATTGTGAAAGCGTGAGAATCCTAAGGGATTTTGCGAGTCTCTGAGACTCGAGTACTTACCATGCTAGATGTTTTACGGTTGAGTTGTGGAGAGGACCCATAAGTAGGCCTCTCAGTTTGAAGTCGTTTCATGGTTAAGACCCCTTCAGATTAAGGAAGGTGGTAATATTGTTTATTGGGAACTTGTCTCTAAAAAGGGAGGTGTTTTAAAAAAGGGTCGCATGGTAGCTCATCCTGAAAAGAAAGGGATGGCTAGGAGACCTATTGAGAGAGACCTCCTTCGTAAAAAAGGTGGTTAATGGATTTAAGGGCATGGTAAGCAAAGTCTGAGTGATAAAGTCTGACGGAGGGAACCATAATTACGGCTTCGATCATGGGTGGAACTGAGAAGGTCGCAAGTCAGTGCAATAAAATGTCGTGGGATGTGTGGTCTGCTGTCTCTGATCAAGTCAGTAGGCCACGACCTTGTGTGAGCCTAGCGGTGAATCTGTTTGTGATTGTGAAAAGGGGGCCGTGCTTTCTATGTTGTCCCGTAGGGAGCTGGTAAATACCTTTAAAGGTGAGACAGACCCCTGGGTAGTCCTGCAACGGGCCTGTGGTCTGTTTTGCGACGCACCATCTAGACACTTGTGCTAATCCCAAGGCATATTGAGGAATACCAAGCTAAACGGTAAAGGTTAGCACCTCTGGGGCGCAACCCCAATTGGATGACTGCAAGCCAGCACAACCTGGCTGCGGGCCCACGTTTACCAATGGGGTATGAGTTTAAGGGGTTATGCACGCCTCAGGGAAACTACTCCGGTGGGATGGCTGGGGATATGAGTCGAGACCTTTATGAGGAGAAAACCTATCGTTGCGTAACCAGGAAAGGAACTGCCGTCAAGACAACAATGCGGTAGGCCGTAGATCTGGCTCGATCAACCAGACTATGGTGGGCCAGGATGGAGACCTAGCATTTCTGTACTAGACTGCAGAAAAAGCTGAGAGGAGATTTAAATGTATATACATATGCGTTGATTGTGAGGATTTTCGGGAGGAAGGCGAAGGTGCCTTCTGAGGTCTCATTTAAGGCCCACGTCCCTGGGGAAGGCTCTGTTTACGGGATAGAGTCTAGCCGGGACACTCAACAAGAGGCCGGCGTTTGCTTAGGACAAAGGGGAGAGGACGGTTTGAGGTGGCCTTTGGAGCTTATGCTGTAGTATCGATGTGTAATACACCAACGTCCTCTTGTCAGGGTAACAGAAACCCGAGTTAAAACCCTGGCGGCATATAGTTGTGTGGGCACAGATCGTTGGAGGCCTCGAACCTGAGTCTGACGGCTAATTGGATTGGTTCCTTTCTTGTCAGCATCTGGAGTTGGATGGATTTATAGTTTCTGATTTGGCGAAGCGACGAGGACGTCGCTTAATATGGTCTGGTAAGCTGTCGGTGCGAATACCCTTAGAAGGGTATCCGCCCTAGTTTTTACAAGTGACAGAAAACTAGTTCGGCTTAAATTTTTTGAGAAAACCGAGCGAGTCACGGCAGTGTGGTGACTAAAGGTTGACTATAGGGTCTAGAAGTAGGGAGTGCGTGGGCGCTCAGGTTTAAGGCGCGCGTGATCCCATTTGTAGCATTGATTGTAAAGCCGGCGCGGACGCCGGTCGGTTTATTTTTATTGTTCTTCTCTTAATCAACCTAGGATTTAAGGATATATATTTTTTAATCGGTATGTTTGACTGAGACCTGTGCGCGTGCGAAGAACGACCTCGACGACGACATCGACAGCCACGGCGCGACTTCGGGCGGTGTGCGGGGTGGCGTAGGGTAGCGCCCAGGGCGATGATGGCATGATATAGGTAAGCCGGCGCGGGTGCTAGGAACCGCGCAACCGGGTTGCTGGCCCTGAGCGATGTGCCGCACTGCTTTGTATGGTATTCTTCGGGCGTTGGTCTCAGGCTTGGGCATAGCCTTATAGGTTATGGCAGCAGACTGTTACTAGGGAGGTTCGGGGATCGAGGTCAGCGGGGGGCAGCGCAAGAGCAATGGGGCAACGAAGGGCTGAGGGGTTGAGGGTCCCGCGGGACTATCCCCCTTTGTTTTGTTGGGGGAGTCCGATCGTGGGCCCGTGTCTTAGGGCCAAGGGGGGTCTTAATAAAGCCCGCGCCCTGTACCCCCTTCCTTGTTTACGATCCTACAGTTTAAAAAGGGGGTAGAAGGGAGGGTTGGCTAACCTTTGGGGACGCAACAGGGCGTTGGCATGTGCAAGCCCTACGAGGTACCGGTAGATCTGGGGTGATATCGGGAGGATCCGCAGCGTCAGCTGCGGAGGAATGACGTCGACAGAGAGATTCGGGGCCGTACCCGGTCGCGAAGTGGGCTAAGGTGCACAAGTCCTTCGGGACATCCGTTAAAATTGGGGTGAGACGGAGAAGATTGGCAGGTCCGCTATGCTGGGGTGGCTTACGCAAGACCGGTGAATGAACCCGGATGTGATACGGGCCGGGGGCATGCAAAAAAGGACAAGGAAAAGACTGAGTGGCCTAGGGAACTACCGTGGGGCATTGCCCCGAGCAGGACGTCACCAGGGAGGTCGCGTGATCAGCCACAGAGGAGTGGCGCATGCAGCAAGAAGACCCGGGGTAGAACCCGGACGGGAACCAGGGTGGGAGCGTGCAAAAGAAGTGGGAGAGGCCGGGTGGCTTCTGGCGGCGCCGCGGGGCATGTTGCTCTGGGCGAGTCCTTCGGGACATCCGTCGAGACTGGAATGATACAGAGGAGATCGGCTCGGCCCCGACGCAAGGATGACACGCATAAATTGGAGGAGGTCCGACAACCGAGCGCCTTTTGCATTTTGGCACTCGACTGTTTGTCGGACTGTGCAGCATCGGAGGACCGTGGTGACGTCAACAAGGAAAGGTAGTGGGGAAGGAACCTGGCCGGGTTCAGCGTCGGGGTACATCCGACAGGGAAAAGGGGAGATGGCGGAGGGGAGATGGTAGAGCTCGCCCGTTTCTTGATGAAATCGGGCGAGGGAGGAGTCCACTTCGGGGTTTCAGACCACGGCGACTTCGAATCCGCGGTTAGTTTAGGGGGAAAGTTAGTGTAGAGAGGGGTAAGAACAAAAATGTGTGCGCAGGGGTATCGGGGAGATGGCGGGGCAACCAGGCGGGACACGGGGAAAAGGAGGTAGCTCGTGCGACTTCTCGTAGAGTCGGGAGAAAGGAGAGTCATTCCCGAGCTTTGGGCCCTGGGCGAAGCCGACTGTGAAGACAAACGAAGGAGAAAGTTAGTACGAACGGAGGTTAGTGGAGAATACAGCGCGCGAAGCTATTGCAGGAGGAGAAATGAAGGAGAGGGGAAGGAAAAAACTCACTACACAGTCGGGGAATCAGCCACTACGATAGGGGGAGTGGGCGCGGGACAGGATCAACAAGGCAGGACGGAGCGCAGAGGACGTGAGGGCCGGGAAATGAGAGTGAAGCGACGAAACACGGGATAAGTAAAAAGGGGGAGGGGCGAAATGTACCTAGACGACACACCGGGCCAGATGCATTCAGAAATGGAGACGGTCAAGGCGCAATCGAGTATGCAAAGCCCGCCCGATTCCTGATGAAAACGGGCGGGGAAAGAACTGCACATGGGGCTATTGGATGTACGGAATCCGAATCTGATGTTAGATTTAGTATTAAGTGAGAGGACTAGAAGTTAGTAGAGGACCGGTGTGCACGATGCTATGGCGGAGACAGGTATGGAGGGGGCCGATGAGCGCAAAACTCTGACGATTCATGGTAGAGTCGTCGAGAGACGAAACAAAACGGGGGTTTTTACATAGCTGCGAAGTAGATTAGCGGGTTAGTTTTAGGTGCTAGTGGCTAACTTTTAAGATATAGGGATGAGAACTACGCCTGTATCTTCCCACATTATGGGGAAGATCCGTCCGTGGTCTATAGCCTAGTGGCAGGGAGCCGGGCTAGGTGCTAAACGGGGTTGACTGTGCAAGCTAGTACGATGCAGGGAGAAAGGGGGAGTCGGTGAGAGAGAGAGAGAGAGGACTCACCATGTTGGCAACCTCGTACTTGGAAGGGATCGGTGGTGAACTGCATAATAGCGCCAACGAACCTGGCCATGGTTACGGACCAGGCGCATGGAGAAGCAGACCGCTGCATTTTCTGAGCTGAGTTTTTTTACTTAGGTAAATTCTTACATTTTTTTGGATCTTTTGTTATACTTGGCTTTGTATAAATTCTGTTAAGCTACTTTCTCTACGGGAAGCGCTGCCGAATTTTTTGCAAATCCAAGGAGTTAGTCAAACTTTGACTTTTCAAAGCTCAGTTTGTCTAAAGTTCATATACGACTTAGTAAAAATCTGGAAAGTCTCCTTTTCTAAAAGGAGTACTGCCCATTTTTTTGCTAAATCCGGGAATTCTGGTTTTATATTAAGGCTGATACAAATTCTGGGAAGATACTTTTCCTACGGGAAGCGCTACCGAAATTTCCTTAGTTTAAAGGAGTTAGATTATATTTTGACAGGTGGCGATTCTGACGATCCACCCGGAATAGGGGAGATTCTGCCATTAGTCTACCTTTGCTTTGGGCACTGGCTTACAGGTAGGCTTAGACTTAGTTGGC